AGTGAAAGATCTTCTAATAATAGTGGCAATATTTCTGTTAAAATCTGTGCATACTTGCGACTATTTAATGGTCCATCGATAAAATGAAGTCATCAATTATTTTATCATTAAGAATTCCGGCTCAGACGTTTATAGAGGTCTCTGCCTGTCCACTTTTCTCATCCAATGTGGGTTTTCTACTGATCAATAGTGCATGTTGCGAAGATTTATTTGTCCATTGTTTGTAAATGTAGCTTCATCAGTAAATAAGACAAACATATCATCTTCTTGTAATCTTTGTAGTATCCATTCACAGAATTGTACACGATTTTGAAAATCATTGCCATGTAACTCTTGATGAAGTGAGATATGGAAGGGATGAAATTTGTTGGAATGGAGTATTCGCAGAACACTTCGTTGAGTAATATAATATCACTTTTACATTCAAGCTTTTTTTTTGTATTGATATGTGGATTTAGTACTACCACGGCTAAAATGTTCGTTGAATTTCCGTCGTCAGTTGCTTTCTTAATTCATTTGCGTTTTTTATTATCCACATTTCCTATTTCTTGAAAAGTTTGTACTATGTTTGAAAAAACAGAGAATGAGGGATGGACACGATCGGGAAATCTTTCAGCATACAAACGTACTGCTTCTCTCATAATTTGGTGACATTAATCATAGACAAAATCATATCGACTTTTTCTGCTTTCGTATAACACATTTCGCAAGACACGCACTTTGATAGATAAATTCAAACTGAGCAGTAAATATGGATAAAGCTATGTGCGATTCAATTTAAACGGTATGTCAAGATTTACATATACTTGAACGATTAGCAGTATACTAATAAGAAGAGAAGACACGAAATTATTCGAAGAGTGCCTTGAAACAATTTATTTTCCATTATTGACCTTACGTAACCTTGAATAATTTCCAATTATAAGCCATTTTATTCTTAAAATGCTCTATCAGAATATAAGGAAAAAATAGATCATTCCATTTAAAAAAACAGATTTGACCTATTCTTTACGTATTCTTTACGCCTTCACCTACAAAACAATTATTGACATCACATTATGTGCCCCACGAAACCAACTTTTGTTTGACACTTTTTCTTCTATTGTTAAAAACAAGTAAGCTATTCAGGTGACCTGTTTTAAATGCCCC